GGCTCGGCTAGTGGGGTGGAGACTGCAGGAGATAAAAACTTAGAGGCAGTTGATTCCTTTCCCCAAAAACCTTGTACCAAAGTGAGTGTTGAGCCCTCTAATTCTAGGAAGGGGTTTGTGCCATACAAGAGATGTTTAGCAGAGAGAGACAATGCTTCGGCAGTTGTAGCTCCAAATGACAGGGAGAGACGGAAAACTCGAGTTTGCTGACAATTCGGCTTCCCCAGTTCTACCTAACCTGCGTCCACGTGTAGTCTTAACGTTCTTGACCAGAATCTGGACCGGAGAATGGCTCGGAAAAACGAAGAGAATAAATGTGGGAAGTAGCAAATTCTTCAGCTCAACTTTGGATTTCGATCCACCGCGTGAGCTCTCACCATTTTTTTTTTTCTGCAGAAGATGTCTGATTGATACGCTTACTTGTTTATTGGGATTGCGCATCACTCCCTTTTCTACTAGTTTTTTTGTGTTCAGAGAACACTTAAGCATTATATTGGAGGTTTCTGTCTTGTAAATATTTGTAACTTTATTCTTGAAATTATTATTATTTTTTCCAAAAGTCATTATTTTTTAAGTGAACATATCTTTGAAATCTCTTTCCATGCATGGTTATACTACAACAACGTGGAAGCTGTTGACTGTTTTTGATAATCAAGAGAGAGAAATACAAGCTATTTGTATAGTGTTGGTATAAGGTTGCCTTACCAACAAGGTTGGTGCGAGTGTAATCATCTGTTAGTATTTTTATTTCATTATTTTTCTTTATCTTATCCTAAAATTGGAATACTGAAATACGGATTAAAGGGCCAATGCTGAAGAGCGTGTGCCGAAGAAAATTTCACGTGTATAACTGTTGTAGGGTGAAACATTGACCCTAAAAATAGACCATGAACAAGGCTCACAAGTCAAATGATTGAGGACAACTCAACCTTAAAAGCCACATCAACAATCACGTTTTTAGGAAGTCGATCGTTATGAGAAACATTAGGAATGAACGTGTGGACGACTGTACTAACAGACATAGGCGAAGAGGCCTCGAGAAGCTTTTACGAATTGAGGCTACGCAAAAATAAGGATCTGCATGATTCACTTCGAGATTACTATTTGTAATATAAATATATTAAATTTAAATAAGGAAACTACTCAGATTTATTGTAATCTCTATCTTTTAGGAAATTATCCCAAAAGATAAAGAAATATCACCTAATTCAAATAAGAAAGGTTGATGGGCGGTGAACTTAGACTATAAATAAGGGATTATAGGTCAAAAAATCCTTAAGTCTCATCTTGAGCATTAGCGCATGTATTCTCTCTAAAATAGTGAATTTTCTCCTCCTCACCACAGTGTATGTAGCTCTCAAATTGAGGGTGAACCACTATAGATTTCATGTGCTCTTATTTTTAATTCGCTTTTAATTACGTTTCAGAGAGTTCAATTCCATTTTTCATTAAGAAATTCGTTACTATTCTGTTGACGAATTTTCACCGTCAACAATTGGCGACTCCACTGGGGACCGAACTCATAATATATGGTTTGTGTGAAGGATCTTGGTGAAATTCAATCTGAAGTCATACCTCCGAGAAGAACAAGAAGGAGCGCTGTGAATCAAAGCACCCAAATCGATGATAATACTGTGAACCAAGGTAATCAGGCTGATGGAAGAAGGGGCAAAAATCAACCTAATCTGGAGAATCAGCCCGATGTTGGGAATGAAGAAGTCTTGGCTATGCGCGCCTCAGCCTGACCCAATGCAGATGCAGGCACAGTTGAACTCCCTGAATGAGATGGTCCGACAACTGGTGGCTACAATTGACTGGATTGATGGGAGAAATTCAATTCTTCCTCTTGAAGATGCTTCGTCGAGACCACCAAACGTAGCTACTGCCGGGAACCAAAATAATGGTGACCATTGTGGTGGTTTGGAAGGGATTAGAAAGAGCAAAAATACAGGGGAGAACAATCCAAGACCTCAACCATCAAAGTCTCTAGGAAGCAGACAGAGGGCCGCTAGGAGATGAGCCCAGGAAAGGGTGGCTGCTGCAAATGGATGAGGACTCGCCCCAAAGATGCCACCTCGAGGTAACCAGGGCAGAGATGCTTAAGAAGACTTATGGTCAGTATAGAAGGGTCGAGACCTAAGAATCAAACTGAATGCTAGAAGAGCTGAAGCTTCAAAAGGTGTCGACTCCGCAATTTCAACGGTTGCGGCTAAAGCAATAATGCAACGAATGGCGAGCTTAGAGGAAAAGCTAGTGGGTGATGTCGTTGGTTTGAAAAAAGATGTAAAAAGCCAGGTGAGTCGGTGAGGAGCCCGCGACCCAATATTAGGGTGTAAATATGGTCAACTGTTGCAACCAGGGGAGTGTAACGTTCGAGCTTTCCGGCTGGAGTTTTTGGCTTGTCTGTATCGCTTTCTTTGGTCTTCTTTGGCTCAGTGAGCAAAGGTGCTCGGCTCGTTGTACTCACCTTTTCGACATGCGTGGATAAGAGTGTCATCGGAACATGTTTTGACCTCCAACACAACCTTGGTGAATCTCGCCATATAGTCCTTAATGGTCTCATCTTTCCCTTGCTTTATAGCATAAAGGTGTGATTCCGTCTCGACTTTGACGTTAGGAATGCAGCTGAGAAGGCATCGGATAGTTCTCAGAAAGATCCGATCATTCTGGGGGAAGGTGCCTGAACCACTGTCGAGCGGGGCCGATCAGCGTAAGTCCGAAGGCTTTACACATGGCTGCATCACTTGCATTCTGCAATAGCATGTGCCCCCCGGTAATTTTCCAAATGCTCATCGGCATCTGGGTCCCATTGTAAGCTTTAATGGCTGGTACTTTTAATTTGTTCGGCATCGAAGCCCTCATAACATCCGCAGTAAATGGAGGATCAACCATGCCAACATCATCTAGTCCATCTCTTTGGTTATTGGGGAGATCAATCTCAATCTATTGCCTCAAAGTTTGTATTTGTTGTGGAGTATCGTCTAATGGGTCTCGACCATGTCTTGCTCGGCTTCTCTTCTCCTCTGAGTCCCATTCACCTTGTCCATTATTATTTCTTTATTCAACAGCTGCTCGGTGTCCTAACCATTGAAAGACAGACTGTCTCGAGGCCGAGCGTATAGGGGCTTGTTCAGGCCTTTGACCATTCGGATGCTGAGCGTAACTGGCCTGCTCCAAACCTTCTCCTTGTCGGCCAGTGGCTCTACTCCTTAACTGTTCAGACCCGACCGAATGCTGCTCGGCTTCGACTTGCTCGAGCTGAATCCCTTTTGGCTGGTTCTGAACGGGTCAGAACTGTTGTTGTCCTTAAACGGCTTGGACCAGTTGCTGGATTGTCTCAGATAAGATCTGGACTTGGGCAGTTATCTGCTCTGCTTGGGCTATTAATTTTATGTGATTTTTAAAAATATATTTTTCTCACTTTACTCCTCAAAAAGTAATTTTTCGCATGTGTTCTTATTTTTCTTACCAATGATCAAAATAATTTTCTTTAAATATGTATATACTAAAGTGTTTTCCGTGTAATTCTTATCATATTAAAAGTTATTTTGACATATATTCTTTTCTTATAATAAATTCAAAAAAAAAAAAAATTAATGGTTGTGTAAATCAATTTCTCTTTATTCGGTAAATAATAAGTTCTTTAAGTGTCTTCAAAACGACAATGCGTGTGAAACACGTTAAAAAACTAGTTATTTATTACATTACATACATAAGAGCATCTCCAATGTAATGATATAATTAATGTGCCAATTGTAAATTTAATATTTGAGTGTTAAAAAAACTCTCCAATGCAATACTATTATTGTGGTAAATTTTCAATATGCTATACTTTGTGACAAATTTCCCACTAAGTATAGCACATGAGAAATTTGACATTTGATTGCTGTTGATGTTCAAATCTGACACAACACCACGTACGGCTGCACACAGTGGTCAGACACACCTCATGCTCTAGTACTGATCGGACTGTCGGAATAGCTTTGCTCGGGAGTAGAATATGGTTGATCTACACAAATGAAAGAGAGAGACGAGCTTAGGGTACTTGGAGCGCCAATGTGGTGCCGGCCAATGGTCTTCCGATGCTCAAGAGTGTCCTGCTCCGAACAGTCAGTGAATTGTAAAGTTAGGTGGGATAATTATGCATACCACAATAAATGACCATGAGATATTTATAGTGTGTTGTCGGGTCCGGGTTAGGCCCAAAATTTATCTGGGGCCCCGCAGTTGGGCCGTACACCTTTGTCAGGAACGGTCCCAAGTGTCACCAATCCTCGCCGGTCGTACAATAAACCATGTGGACGGTGAGGATGGGTGCCAACAAATAAAAGTGTGCAATATTCTCCTTAACCACTGTTCGGCTCACAGAGGCTTGCAGGTAGTCCGAACGGATGCTCTAAAGCCAGATATCCACTTCGAACAGAACATGGGACGACTCTGAGTTGTTCGACAAAACGAATGGAAGTTAACAGTATTCTGAGAACTGATTGACTATAGGACATCAAAATAGTGATCGACCTATGCATCCGGGTGGTCGGCGAACAGGTGCCGATCAGGTTACCAACAATTGCTATTGGTTGAAATATTTTATTTTTCATGTATTCATTACAACTTTTGCATTTTTTTAATTATTTTAAAAAATAAAAGTTTACTTTTACAATTTTAAAAACTTAATGAGTAAGAAAAAATGTAAATATAGCATTTTAAATAATATTATACATTAAGATAAAATAAAAAATAACATATCATATTATACTTTTTAATATTAATATTGAATATATTATTAGTATTAATATTTGTATTAGAGATGATTAAAAAAATCAAAAAAGTTTAGCTCTCCTTTAGTCACGTGTCAATCACACTTTGCTCCATTCTTTCTTATTTTTTGCTTTTTTTACTTTTTTGATTCTTTTTACTTTTTTCTTTTCTATTTGTTTTTTTTTTCTTTCTTCTTCTTCTTCTTTTTTTTAATTTAATTTAATTTTTATTATGACGTCTTTTTGAAATATCACTCCCTCATCGAGACCTGCTTCTTGTGAGGCAGAAATGGGAGCGACCCTTTTCTTGTTCTCCATTTCTCCAACTAAATGCATTCCAAAAGCAACAGCAACACAGAAACTCCATATGGGCAATTCCCCTTTTTGCTTATCTTCAGCTTCTCGACCACAATTATCTTTTCCTAATTTCAGACATTATGGCCTCTGCTCGGTTATTATGGCCTCTTCTTCTTCTTCTCCTTCTTCTTCGCCAAAAGCTTCTACCAAGCTCTATGTCAGTGGTTAGCTTCTCTCACCTCTTTTAATGAATGCTTTGTAACTCTAAATAATTTGAACGGCCCTTTTGCTTTAAAAAAAAATCTATATTTTGCCGTTGTTTTTTTTAGAATAATATAGAGTTGCAATTGATCTGGGTGAGTCAAGCAAAACCCATTTGGTATTTTTTTTAATTTTTTTATGATAATGCATTTTTTCCATTCATCTTGGGTTTGCGAAACAGTTGAAATATGAGGATTTGGTTTGTGTATATTTATTTTTCATTTTCAACAGTTCACCTCATTTCTTCAACACTTTTTGCTAAGAATTTTACGAAGTTTCTATAGCTACATGTGCTTCAATATGCTCAGCACACATATGATTATGCTACAGGTCTTATGGTTTTTGAACTTGTGATTAGGAGACTTTAGGTCTCATAAGATAAGAATGAGTTGAAGATTTATTTACATATCAGTTATGAGATTAAAGGTTTGAATTTTCTTGGTTGGAAGCTGTGAAAGCCTGAAATATGTGATGCTGGTAAATCTTGATTTAAATTAACAAATAAATATGGAAGAATATGTGTTTGCCTAAATATGTCTATCATTACTCTTCAAAAGGGCAACAAAATTTTAGCACTAATAGTCTTTTTCATGTGCAGGGCTTTCATTCCGTACCACGGAAGACAGTTTAAGAAATGCTTTTGGAAAATTTGGCCAACTTGTAGAAGGTGAGAACAGCAGCAACTATTGTAAAATGCCATTTGTTGATACTACTTGATACATTTCATTCTTTTGGTATCTCGCACGGTCACTTTTATACTTTATCATATATAGATTTCTAGAGTTTTTTCAAAGAGTTGCCTCTATCCTTTCTTTTTCACAGTCAATCTGGTGATGGATAAAATAGCAAACAGGCCAAGAGGGTTTGCTTTCCTCCATTACGCAACCGAGGAGGAATCTCAAAAGGCTATCGAGGGAATGCATGGAAAGGTATTTTATTCCATCTTAATCTTACGGGGAATCCATTAATGTTTCTTAAGCTAATTCATGAGTTTTATGAAAGCTTAGGGCATGAGATGTGAATAGCGTGATGATAAATATATAGAATGTTAAGTGTTTGAAGCTAGTGATCTATGGTAATGGTGGATAAATTAGAGTTAACAATAGCTTTAGATTTAGGATCAAGTTCAATGGGTTATGACTGATTTATGGACTGCTATTAGGATTTTTGTTTTTCCAATTAAACATATTTGAAAGTTCTAGCATGCTAGCCTTAGCATTGAAAGAAAGATCTTAAGAATATGGGGGGAAGAGGGCTTCTCATGGAGCAATGGTATGGAGAAAGTTTGGAATTCTATTTAGCTATCAAATTTGGAAGTTTGAAATTGGTAATGGAATATAACCTTTAGAAGAAAATAAACATACTAAAATTTCTCAATTATTCTCTTGTGGATATCTACTTGTATGGAGCTAAATACTAATAAAAAAAACATGGAAGTGCTAAAGCCTGAAGTGCTTGTTTAAATACATGGTATTGGAAAAACATACTAAAAGTAACGAGAAATAACCCTTCAATGCAAAGTTGTTATTTTAGCTAGTCCGTTTGCCCTTTTTCAGGTACCCTGCAACTTGACTTTAAGTGGTTGTTTAGCAAACAGTTGGACTTGGGTTATACATTACATAAAAAGTTCTCAGCGAAGCGTTTTAGAGAAAATATAGTTGTAATTTAATTTAGATCTAAGCATTCAAAGTATGGTTTTGGGATTAAATGCGACATGATCCCCAACATACACGTTCAGAATGTCCTGCATGATGCCTTTTTTTAAACTTAAATAAAATAGTGAATAAAAAGTGACGACCAATAAGAAAAGAGACACATGAAAAATGCCCTTTCGGCCATTGCCAAATCCTTAATCCCAAACAGTAATGTCTTGAAATCTATTACACCAAGATATATTTACAGCTTAGCCTAACTTTGGAACAAGTTAAAAGCAAGTTTTTAGTAGGGAGAGAGAGAAGCATGGTGAGGAGTGAAGGGAGTGTGAGAAGCAAGAATTGAATAGTTCCTTTTCTCCAAATAGAATATACCTCATATGAATTCAAACCTATCTTTCCAATATTTAACTAAAAAACAACACATTATGCAATTTTTTTCCTTTCAAGTTCCCTCCTACAAATTGGAGCCTCCCCAGGTCTTTCTTTTTGTAATTGGAGATTCAAATTTTTCAGTAAATCTTTAGTTGAAGACCAATGTTTAGATTTTCTCTCGAAACCTGTTACTCCACTCAAAATCTTAAGAGGAATTGCTGAAAGTTTCTGAGACAATTATTTTACTTTTCTTTCTGCTTTTACGGGTTAATTGTAATTTGACAGCCTTTATTTTATTCTTTTTATTGGAAAAATTCGATCATCGCATGTCCTTTTATAGTTGAATTGAGGAATTGAATAGAAAAGTAAATTATATTGATGAAGCAATTGAAAGATTACAATGAAAACCCTAACAATGGTGGTATTGGAGAGACCACCAGCTCTCCCAAGTTTTCCCAAATTTCCCACTAATTAGACATGACCCCTCTCTAACCACTAATTTCTCCCTTTTATACTTCTCATTCTCTTCTAACCACTACTAGCAGCTAAGACTAAAGAACCAACACGTAGAAGCATCGAACAATATTCCAAATGGATCACTCGTATTAACTAATCAAATTAACTTCCAGAAGCCTATCAAAAAGTTGTGAACATCAGGGACCGTGAATGTATTGGACCCTTGAAATTATTTGCTCAAATAACCAGCAGCGAGCTCACATCAAATATCAAAAAACAATGTTAGAATGAAGAGACCTAACTAATTTAGAGGTCCTATAGCTGGGTTGTGTAATCTTATGTGTGTGTATATTTGGGATATTTCTGAAGTTCTCCTTAAGGTCTAAGTCTTGTGGTTTTATGTAGATTTGATTGGTAGATATGACTGGTAATTTAGGTTTGAGCCTTTCTTAAGGCTATCAGAATAGGATGAGGACAGTATCGAACGAAAGTTGGCTTTTCGAAAGTGTCATTTCTATGATTTTCTTTCATGTCTGCAAGTTGGCTTTTCGAAAGTGTCATTTCCATGATTTTATTCCTTGCCCGTTTCTTTTGATTGGGAAGTGCGGAATAGTAAGAAACATAAACAAGATTGTAAAAAGGGCGCAAAATTTTCTCAGTTTTTGGATGGCAGGGTAATATTTGTGGAAGTTGCTAAACCAAGATCAGAGCTTCGTCAAAGTCCCAAACAAAATCCAAGACGGTTTTGAAGAGCAGCAATGGAATCGCTATTCTTGTCAAAGATGCTAATTGCTACTGCTAATTAAGCTGGAATTTTATCATTCACTATTCTCATGCACAATGTCAAATGGCTTTATTCATCATAATTCATAAATGGCTTCTATTAGCTCATAAGCTCTCTCTCTCTCTCTCTCTCTCTCTCTCTTTGTTTTTGCCCCTCAATGTCAAATTTATCTTTTACGTATAATTATTCTGTTAGTTCATTTTACTCTTGTCTTCTTCGAAGAATAATTCTCATGTTGCTTGCATTTGGTTTTCCTCTTGTATATGTTCTGCCCGCCTTGATTGCTGCAATTCCTACAATCTCCAAGCTTATTTCTTAAGACATATGAAAGTAGTCTAGAAAAACTGACTAGAATCACTCTTATTCACTCTCCAGACTCCAATACAATTATTTTGGTGTCAAATATAACAAATGCTATGTCCAATTTTGGCTGTTGATTACTATTAGATGATGTATTGAGTATTCACCCTTTTCGTTTAATCAATGTAGCATTAATTCAAATAATATTTAAACTAAAAATTCACAATTTCAAGCTTAATAATTATGAAAAAAAATAAATATAGCATTTAAAATTACATTATGTACTGGAGTATAAAATAGAAAAGCATACTAATAGTTTTCACTTTTTTTTTTGAGCGGAAGTTTTCACACATTTTAGCGCCCAATATAGCATTGGGATTTACCGAATCTGATTAATTGAAGATAAAAAGTATGCAATGAAGAATCTGACCGTATAAGGAATGCCCTCCCCCCCTTTTTTTTTTTTTTTTTTTTTTTTTTTTTTTTTTTTTTTCCTTTTGCCCCTAAAATTTTACATCTTTAAATGTGTGTTTTTTTTTTTTAAATGATTTGCTTTTCTAATTTGTTCCTATTAAAGATTTATTAATTTTTAGTTTTTCCAAATGCATCCCCATTTATATATTGTGTTTATAATTCTCTTATACATTATTTTATCAAATATGATCTTATAAATAGTATTCTTTCTCCTAATTGATCGACTGAAATAATTTTTCTTAAATCCGTTCTCACTTGAACATTTTTTCCCAATCCCAAGATTGCGTTTCTCTCTCTCAAGAGGAGCAAGGGACACCTGATTCAGTGTGTTAAAGTCTCCCTTTTAGCATCCCCTGTTTCTAGTTTTGAATTGCGATGTTCTTCAATTGATTTCGAAAACTTGCTGCCTTTGACAAACATTGACAAAGCTAACACTCAAACAAACAAACAAATGTAAATAATGTTGGCTGTTGTCAAATGTATTCAACTCAATCACTCTGCTTTCTTTCTTTTTTTTTGAAAAGAAACGAACTTTATTAATAATGTAGGAAAGGGAAAGATTTCCTCAACAAACCCAGACCCAGGAATATAATGAAGTTAAATCCAAAACTTAGCATTGACCACACAAGGAAACTCGAGTAAGGCTAAATAAAAGGAGCCCAACTCCTGATGAAATTTGAAAAGGTTGGTCTGCCAAATTCTTTGTCCCTATAAACCCACAATGGTACCCAATACTTTATTTTATCCTGAAGAAGAGATCCATCCTCCTCATGATCCTCAAAGATTCTGTTATTCCTTTCTCGCTATAAACCCCAAGAAGTAGCTGAAATTGTTGCCTTCTTCCATAGAATGGATCCCTTTTGACTGAAGCTTGAAGGGGGAGGAAAAAATAGTAACTCTGTACAACTTCGAGGCATGACCCAAGAGAGACCAAACTCCTTAAGTCGGAAATAAGTACAATGAATAAATAGATGATCCATTGATTCTCGACTATCCTTACACAAACAACACCAACCTGGAGAGATGGAAAGATATGGACTTTGTCGTTGCATTAACTCATGAGTATTTTTACCTTATTATGAGCGAGCTACCAGCAAAAGACCTGAACTGACGAATCAACTGTCAGTGAACAAAATAATGATCTAATTGAGAACATGCCACTACTTTCAGGTACCCACTCACTTCTATCCTGAATTACAGTGATAAGCCTTATTCTCTCCACATTCCTGATGAGCTCGAAAGTCTCCCTTAACTCCCTATCTGTTATAACTCCTTGAGAATTTAAAATTCCATAAGACACTGCTATCTTCATTAACTTTGTTACCCACTTCAAAATTTACTATCAGCTGATTCTAAAGACGAAAAATTCTGTATAGGTGAGGAAATCTTGATCATAACGGACCGTCTTCTATCCAAGAATCTTCCAAAACTCCCACAATCTCTCCGGAGCCAATCTTCTATTTAACCTTTTAGAAAAAACTCTCAGATGCTGACTGAACTGACTTCCATGGGCATCTAAATGTTACTCTTGATGCTTCTCTTGAATCCCATTTATTTGGAGCCAATCCATATTTCCTTACTACAACTCTATACCAAAATGCATCAGATTCCAATGGAAATCTCCATAGCCATTTTGCTAATAGGGCCTCATTTCTCTTCCTTATATTGCTAATATCCAAACCTCCCAATTCTTTTGGTCTACAAACCTGATCCCAAGCCAGCAAATGAGTTACATTATCTTCAACAAACCCTCCCAAAAGAAATATCTCATGAGCTTTTTAATCATCTCCGCTACTGCAACAGGGATTCTAAATACTGACATATAGTAGATAAGCAAGGCAGCTAAAATTGACTGAATAAGAGTTAGCCTACCTCCTTTTACTTTTCCCACCCCTCCAGACATTTTGCCACTCTAGATACTACCGGATCCTAAAAGAATGTCTGTAACGGGTTTCTGCCTATAGGTAGACCCAAATATTTGACCGGCCATGAACCTACTGAACACCCGGCAGTACCAGCGAGCCTGGACAACCACCCTTCTTCTAAGTTTATGTTGGGTAAATGCCTAAAGTTGGTTTTGAGAAAGTAACTATTTTTGTATTTTTTGGGTGAGTTACTGTTTTCTGTTTTTGAGCATGCGTTAATAAGAGTCTATAAATAAACGTTTTATGTGCTCAGAAAAAAGTGCACAAAAAGAGTGCTTACTTTTAAGAGAAATAGAGAAAAGTGAGGAGAGAGATAGACAATGGTGTAAGGGATTTTGGGGTAGAGAAAGAAAATAAGAAAGTTGTATGAATGTACAATTTTAAAACTGTTAGTGAATTTTTCTCTCTCTCCTGTGGACGTAGGCAATTTTGCCGATTCAAGTAAATTTTTATTTTCTCTGTTTTTTTGTTATTTTTATGTTGCGTGAATATAGATGTGTGTTTTTCTCTAACAATTGATATCAAAGCTGTAGTGAAGATTAAGAAAGAGTCAAGATGATGACTAGGATAATTTTCCCGTCAGCATTCGATGGACGTCCGCAACTGTTTGAGCAGATGTCCGATAGAATGTGGTTTGTTGCAGACCCGCGACGAACATCTGCCAACTCTCACCGGAAGTCCAATAATCATACTGTTGGAGTGCAATAGGCAGATTTTTAACACAACGGCTAGTTTGACTTTTCAATGGTCGTTTGGTAATTTGCAGTGGACTTGATTGCAGAAATATAGCCGTTGAGACATTTTTTAGAGAAGTTTTCAACTATAAGTAAGAGGCATTTGTGCTCTCAAAAGCTTACATTGTTTCCTTGCTCTCTAAGTGTTCTCCTTTAAGTTTTGTTTTCAAAATCACTGGAGCCTAATACTATTCATCTTATTGAGTGATCAAATTTCTCTTAAGTTCTTAAATTGTATTCATCCTTGTGAGAGAGTTCTAGAATGTTTCTTTCAGATATATAAATTTTCTTTCAGATATACAAATTCCTTGTCTCTATATTTGCCAATTTCCTCGGTTAATATTGGCCTAGTGTTGGGGCTTGCCAATTTTCGTTGCTAATATTGGCATTGGTATGGATAGCCGGCGTCCCAAGTTAAAGCTTGAAATTTGTAAAGGTGTGGTGAGCCTACCGATGAAATTGACCAACTTGTATTGAGAGTTGTGCCGTGAAAAACAACTAGATAGTAAAAAGTCAGATTGAATATCAACGTAGGTATTTAGCCGAACTACTTTAAAATCTTTGTCTTCTCTCTTTTATTTATTACATATTATTTATTCTTGTGATTGTTTCTTGTTTATTTCATTTGATTATTCATTTATCTTGAATTTATTCTATGTTAAATAAATAATCATTAGACTTTCCAGTATTGGTAAAATTATTCTTAAAAAGTTTTAAATATTAAATTCACCCCCTTTTGAGTAGTCCTCTTGGGCTAACGTGTGAACCTAAGTGGTGGTGACAATGTAAAGGCTAATATCTACGGTTCACGAAACTTCTCAACCCTCGCCACGACGATCTAAGAGAGAGAAGATTCACAACAGAGAGAGATTGGTGATGCATCATAACACCGGCTTGGGGAGGG